CCCCAAAACCCCAAAACCCCAAAACCCCAAAACCCCAATGACCTAAAATTGCTAATAAACTGGAAAACTTAAATTGCTTCATCTTAATTATAGAATTAATATTTTTGTTCATTTGCAACATTCTAAAAAGAGATGAAAATACAGTTTAGTTTGGCAATTTTTTTTATTCAATATATTTGTGGTGTCTCAGCCTGGATGAGTGAAGGCCATCTCATTGGTAATAACTTAAAATTTTAATCATATTTAGTCTCAAGAATAGCCTACGAAAAACTCATAAAAAAAAATCCTAATGCTTTTGCTAAAGCATCTGAGCTTTTAAGTTATGGTTCTAAAATGAATCCATCTTTTAAAGTATCCGAAGGCGATTATCCATTCGTTGAATCATCAATATATGCTGATATAATAAATTTTTAAGACGGCTAATGGCAAACTTCCTGGCACTATGTCAATACTCCACTTTTAGAAAAAGGCAGTGATATTTCTTAGTTTCCGGAATTTTAATTCAAACCTGAGAACATTACATCTGCCATCTAGGGTATCTTATCTTGGCTTATTCAAGAATAAGGATTCTAGAATAACTTTGTATACTAGACAATAATGCAAAGAGTAGAAAACAATGAGAAATTAGGATAATCATATGCACTAAGGCTCCTAATTCATTATGTAGGAGATATTCATCAGCCTTTACATTGTATTTCTAAAGTAAATAAGCAAAATCCTAAAGGTGATGATGGGGCAATCAAAATCAATGTACTAGATCAAAATGGTTCTACTACATCTCTTCACTTACTATCAGACTCTTTAGTTTAAAATCTTTATAGGAATGAAACTTTAGTAAGTATACTATAGTATAATAATAATAATTCAGCCATTTTCAAAACAATCATGGGATAAGTTAGGGATAGCTGTTTAAAAATTAATGGCTAAGTATGTCGAATTGGATTCTTCTGAATACAAAAAATACGATATTTAGGGATGGGCAGCAGAAAATCTTCTTCTGGGTGATAAAGTATATCAAGGAGTGAAAGAAAATGAGCAAGTTCCAGATGCATATATAAAAGAATAATTATTGATTTTTGAACAGAGATTACTTGTGGGTGGGTATAGACTTGCCTTCCTGATAGAAGGTTTGTTTGATCGAGTAAAATCATCAAAAGAAAACAAATTATTCCTAAAATAAAAAGAATTAATCAATGAGCTTGAACCTACAAATTTAAGTTAAAAGGATTAATAAAAAATGCCTTGAATTTTTGCTATGCTTTATTTTATTTCAACGATTAAATTTCAAACAAATGAATTATTATTGTATTATGGGGTTTTGGGGTTTTGGGGTTTTGGGGTTTTGGGG